AAAAAAAAACACGCAGAGTGACATAATTAAAAACACTCTTTGCATACTTAAACACACACACACACAGAAACAACATAAGGAGGTCATGTTGGCTTAGGGAGCTAAGGGAGTTGCGTAAAGGAGCCATTTTGGTGGGAAATGTGGTACGGCAGGGAACGTCAAAGCAAACCTTTAAATGGAGGCGAGGGACAAGGGAACGATGTCAGCTAGCAGAGTGAAGCTTTCTCCACTGGAGGTGAAGCAGAGCACAAACGGCACATTGAATCTCCATTTATTTTCATAAGGTTGAAGTGCTGGGTTTAAGCCTAGCCTTGGTGGTGTAGAGTAGGATTAGTAGGATTTGCCTCTGTGCACATGTGTATGCTAATGTGGGCATACTACATATCTGATGAAAGCAAGGGGCAGAGAAAAAGATGAAGTGATCTATGTATGGATATGAAAATGATGATTGCAGCCCCGCAACCCAATACTTCCTTGTAGGTACATATTTCCCTACACACACAGGAAAACCAAACGCTCATCTGTGTTTCTCATTGTTTGAACAGCTATAAATAATTGACATTACATTTTTTGCTATGTTGGGTGTCGGTTTAAAGGGAAAAACACAACACAAAATTTCCTCATTAGTAAGGCTCAACAGCTTAGGTCACAACATATCACTATAATGCTTTTGCTTGTATTCTACAGGAAGGATGACTAACCTTTCTTCTAAAAAAACATTCTCTCTTAAACATACACACATGATTTGATTGTGGTGTTTTATCAGCTTGGTCATAAGTTAGATGTTATATTGGGTTGAAGACTACAGCATATGATTCACATCATTTTCATCCACATGAAGCCTTTCTGTGGCTCCCCACTCCCACCCCCTCTGCTTGACCATTGTCGCTCTGGAAGAATCCATTCTCAACGGCATTGAAATGTTTCTTCGTGGATACAAACTCAAGTTTGTATTCATTTGCCGTGATCTTTCCTTTGAGTGGATCCAGACAAATTCCCATAAATTGTGTTTCTTCAAACACCAAATGAAAACCATGCAAGAAACAAATACCAGATCATTTAGGTCATTGAAAGAGAGCAGGTGGATGGATATACTGAACTACACTCATTTGCCAAAGACAATAATCTTAGTTTGGCTGCAGCTTCTGAATTGTGAAAGATGTACTTTATATTGTTTGGTAAAACCTCGACAGTAATAGAGTGAAAATCGGAACAATCAGATGACGAGTAAGTACTTTGCAACAGTGGAAAGGAAAAACTAATAATGTTAAATTTCTGCTACTACTACTAATAATAACAAAAATAATTTTTCTTGTGCTTGATCATCACACTAAGTCATTATTAGCTCTTCTTCTTTCTGACTCTGGTACTAAATGCCGTGAGTGTCAACACCTAAACAAAAGAAGCTCTCATATAGCTGTTTGCTCGCTGGCATCTCTGCTCCTGTGGCCATGATCTTCATAGCAAATTAGCAATGCAAGCACTGGACCATTTTGGACTATACTTGCGTGTGATGACAGCATGTGCAACGCTGTTTGGCTTTGTCCTTCATCTGTCAGTGAGACTGGAGTCT